AATACACAATAAAGTGCTATAGAAATGCATCATTCATTCATTCAAAAGTCTCCATTTGCTCTAAATTCAATCTCATTACTGTCTATAGGAGAATCTCATTTGTGACTTTTCTTTCTTATAGGACCAGAATCTACAATGCTACAGTGTCTCGCATGAACCCTTCTCTCCGCTATCACCAACACTACAGCTATGAAATCTTCATTTTTCCTCTGCCACAACTACATTGAGACTCAGTTCACCTCACAAAAGAAACGGGCTTCTTCTGATCCAAACCTTCAAGAGACTGGTGAGAGATTGCTTCATTTTTTTAAAGGAGAGCTGTCATTTTTCATGAGGCAGGTTGTTTTTCCCCTGCCATCGCTATCCGTGTTCACTGTACAGTGCAGAAGGAGACAGCAAGAGGAGCAAACACTTCTGCAGTAATTGGGTACAGACCAAGAACTTTGGCGTGGACCAGCGTAAGCCGATGTGAGCCTAGTAGGAGCGGAGTAAACATAAAAAGGAAGGAAGCAGGGGAGACTGTCGGGGTCCGCAGGGACTCGCACAAGAACACAAAGCATTAACATAATGAGGCTGTTGGGGGTTGCGTAAACAATCTACCTCATTGTTCTACAGGTGGCACAACATATCCGACAGCGTCCAGCAGCCGTTTCTGAGAGCCTTTATTCATTCTAAACAGGTCTGCACATGGTCTGACGTGATGATCGATAGGGAAAAAGTCAAGTTTTCTGCAATTTAATATGCAAGTCTTTGCTGGCTGCTCGCCTCACACACTATATGTTGATTTTGTTGAGTCATTGTAGATGCTTTCTGGAACTCTGCTTGAATTTTTATCAGACAGCGCTCTTTCACAGCCAGCAGCGGTCTCTCGCTTAGAAGCGTGAAACAGAATTTGCAGAATTCTGCAATGTGGCGCATTATGCTGTGGCATATTAAAAAGAGCCTATAATATGATATGACCTAGAATCTAATCTACTCTCTAAGGATCCCCTATACACTGTAGCTCTGACCGATTCAGAATGTCCTGTTACAGTGAGTCCATCTCAATGAACCCTTAGCACTACAGAATCATTATGGATGTTCTATAGAGATTTAAAGATAATTATCTTTATCTGTATGCAGAAGGAATATGTGGATGTGCCTTATAGTACCCCCCCAGACCTTTTTTTGGCACATTATTATGTCTACCATGGTACTGAATGATCACATATTTATGTACCACAGTATTTACGTGGTATGGTATTCTAAGGTACTTCAAAAAAGGTCCAAAACAATATGGTAGTTAGTGCTGAAATATAGCCAACTACATTACGATACAATGCATCGCAATATTATATTTGAATCACTATTGAAACTGCTGTAAACCTGTTCTGATCTCTCTCGCGTGCTTTGCTTTTTCATTTAATTTAGTCCACAACAGTGAATCATAGAAGAGTCTTTAACTCTTAGATTACATGCTATGACACCAATGAACACAAATACAGTATCAGAACCTGAATATTGTTAGGGAGAAAAACTACTGTTACTGATATAAATTGTCTTTACCTGCAGCACAGAGTCATTCACAAGATGCACACGCAATAAAGAGCTGCTTCTTCGTTGACAAGCGCAAGAAATCATTTGCAAGCTTTGTTTTCTACAATAGACTGCAAGTAAACATCCACGTCATCCAGCGCTATATATATCCCATTATTATTTCGGTGTGAGAAATCACTGCAAACATATAGTGTGTGAATGATCTGTCCGAATGAAGCAAACTAAGCAAACAATTTCAGACCTTTTTGCAAATCGGTTTGACCGATTACACCAATAGAGTTATTCACGAATCTGGATTCACTTGTTCTGAAACTAAACAGCAGATAGAAAACATACAAGACTTGATTTATTATCAGAGAAAATTATTCTCAAGTTGGTATACATCGATCCCATTGACAAATAAGGATTTATCAGTTAAATATTTACCAGGACAAAGTGGTAGTTCACTGGGTCTTGTGCCTCAGTAAAAAGGGTCTAGCGGCACCCCTGAACCAGGATATTGTGTCCAAAAACCCAGCGTAGTTTCTTCTCAGTGCACCTTCATTTTAGCAATTCTATATGATCAAGACAAATTCTTTAAATCTGCTGTGAAATTTAATTGACAGAGAAAGAAAAAAAAACAAATGAGTGGATTCCTAAATTCCTCCTCTCCTCCTGAGGCCAGATTTCCAGCTAACATGCTGGTTTAAACGAATATCCGATCGATTCTGAAAGAGAGGCAGGATTTCTGCGGAGCACAGATGCTATGCATAATTCTCCCTCAGCAAAAGCAAATGCATTATCGTTAGTTCTTTAATAAACGCAAAAACAACAAGCTCTCCGTTAAAGAGATTGGATATGCATTCATCCTCTCTTCAGGCTTCAAGTAAAACAATATTCAGTAGACACAAGCTAAATAACTGGCTGAGGTTTCCCCAGTAACAGGTTACGAAGTGTGACAGACACACACATACACACACACAAACAGGACGGCACACATATGGCATATCACTGGCATATTCAGGCTAAAGATATTCTGTTCAGCTCATGTTGGCAACATCTACTCCCTCAGCCCATTGCTCCTTCACTCCTGCCCTCATTCTCCACTTATAGCCCGCTGCCCCACTATCCTAAATTTTGTCAGGCTCAGAGAGTGGGAAAATTAGGCGGGGGAGGGGTAATGTCAAGGAAGGGGATCCCACAAATCATCTAGAAAAAAAGTGGGTTACTGGGGCTGCTGGGATTGGTGAACAACAATGTGGTGGAGACAAGACTGGAGAGACAATGGTGATGACACGTTCTGGGCCAAAGAAAATGAGTGTTAATGTCTGGTATTTCTCAACCGTACTTGTCAGTACAGTGTCAAAGTACATACTAACAAGGCTTGCGGGTCAGTACTAAGTTTTAGGTGGTGGAAAATGCCTCAGAATACCAAGATCTGACATACTTTATTGAGATCGTACAGCATTGTTCCACCAATATGAGTGTGCTTGATTACAGTATGTATATAAAAGCCTGGTTATAATGTTTTTCTCTGTAATTTGATTAATAACTTCGGCCATAATCAAAAGAAAATGTACATAACCATCTATTTTTAATAACATAATTTAATGCCTGCTTTCCATGGGCAGTAAAAGCACATTATTTATTGTGCTAGACAAATTACATAACTTGCCTCTTTTCTGTGAAAATTGAGTTCATTAGCACTAAAAAGAAGGATAATTCATTGAACGCAACACTATTTCATATTAATCATCTGTTAAACTTGTTTTTGGGATGTGAAATTTGCTGCAGTCATTTGGTGAATTCGCCCAAGTCTGTAACATCAACAATGAACTCATCTGACAGCTGGTGAGCAATCTTTCCCAAGCCTTTAGAAACCTGTCCCACTTGTTTTCATTCATTCACACGATCGCCCCGCTTTCCATATTAACGGTTCAAACTGACACACCTGACAACATGTTGTGCATGATGAGGACTCATGATTAACAGTCTGACCTGTAATAGTCACACAAAGAATAAGCAGTAAGGAGTGTATGTGAAATGAATAAAAACGTGTTGAACGCACACTACAGGAACTAGCCTACTAAATCTAGTAAATATTAAACTAGATTATTAACAGGAAAGGCAGAATGTTAGAAAAGATTGTGTCTCATTCAGTTACAATGTGCTTGACAAACTCATAACCGACAGCACAAAAGTAAACCTGCTAAAAATGGACTTTAGCCTTGCTTCAGGTACAAACTGATTTTCAGAATGACTTGTTAGTGTTGGGCAGTACAAGCTCTGTAAAGGGTCCAACCGGCCAATCAAGCCCCACTGAACAAAGCATAAATGATCCCAGCTGCAGCGTACAGCCTCTAATAGGAAAACAAACAGAGCATGACCATATTTACTGGTGCTAGACAGTGCCTATGTTCACAGACACACACAAATACACAGCTCTCCCATTACTTAATGCAAACCTTGCAGCCAAAAATGGAGACTGCAGTTAATTTGGATATATGGCTTCTGGACCACAAGCAGAGCAGTCATAAACATGATTTGTATAATTAAAGTAACAGACAGAATATAGAATCAAATATTTGGAGGTGGGATTGAAGCATCTCCTATGAGTCAAGGTTAGAATCATGCTTATGATCATCAACCATAAGCAGGAACAAAAGGACAAGTGTCTCCATGCATCAACAGCTGCCCATAAGGCATATAATGCAGCAATGATAACAAACGACTGCCCAGCTGGAGTGAAATACATCCATCAAAAATCAAATGAGGGGATGGGGATGGTTGATACTGTGAACACTACAGAAGGTTCATGTGGGAATTATAATGCGTCGATTAGGCACTCGCGTGAGACAACCTCAGCCAGCACGTGCTCGCTTATTGCATTTGTATGCAGGCAAAACAGTATGAAAAAGAGCTAGAGACCAACGCAATTTTCATAGGGCAATCTACGTTTATTTGAATAAAAACATTTTTTTTTAACGCACTAACTGAAATACAAAAATATGGACTCCAAAAACAGAAGAGTGTTCGCTGCGTTTGTTGGCAACAATGAAAACAAAGGCTCGTGTGTTATCGCCTGTAGGGGTTTTAGAGAAACTATTGCAGCTGGACAGATGCGCAATAAAGGAGCACCACATTTAATATTTAAGCTCTGGAGTTCAGTCAAATAAGAGACATGTGGCAAGCCGTTTTATTCCTTTAAACTAACTATTATACACTTTAAGATTACCAATACTTATTTAAATCAGAAGTAGTCCAATAGTGACTAGTCTCTTTTTCGATTTTACTAGTACTCTAATTATTTATTCAACTAGTATTTTGATAGTAGTTAGTAACATTGTAATAATGACAAGTAACTATTCCATGGTACAAATTTTGGATCTGAGGTTCAGATATGAACCATTAAACTTTGACTAGTAACAATTCATTAGGTACTAGTATCCATTTTTAGTTTACTAGAAGCTACTAATCAGATATTAGTACCCATTGATCTCAGCTGTTACAAGTAACATTCTTCATCTAACTAGTAACATTTGCTTTTGACAGATGTAATCAAACAGAAGTCTTACTAGTATGATTGTTAGTACGATGTTACTAGTAACAATTGGAATATACACTACTAGTAACTATTCAAATGTTGCTAGAACAACAGGAGATAGATACTAGAAACCGTTTGAATAGTTACTGGTGAATAAGGAGTATTACTAACAAAAACAAATGCTAGTTAGTCTTAAGTAATGTCAAAACGGCTTGCCACAGACATATGAACGCATCGTGGTCACCATCTGCCGCAGCAGGGCTCGGGTGCGAATTTGAGGGGGCTGTATCGGTTCATGGGCGATCTGTGTTGAGGGCTCACCTTATGTTTTATCTTTTTCCTTTTTAAAGGTACAGGGTGACTTTAGTGGGGCCATCGGTTCTCACAGCACAACCAAAAGGGGCGTTGTCTTTGCCAAAACATGTTCACACAAATACGCACAACCCTCCCAAAGTCCTGAAATAAATGTAAGCAGCCCTTGCCCAAGGCATGCAGAGAGTCCCAAGAACTCATTCCTTCCCGGTCACCAGCGACAGCTCCTTCAGAATGCCACTGGCGTCCACGCGCCGTCTCTCGCGTATCATCTCCTCCAGGCTGCGGAACATGAGCGTGTGCGCCGTGCTCTCGGACAGGTGCACCTTCAGAAAGTAGCGCTGCTCGACCGAGTGCGCCTCCCCACCCGCTTTAAACTCCCGCTTGCCGAAACGGCACCAGGCTGCGAAACTTTCCGAGTTCGTCCAGCAAATCTCGCCGCTGCTGAGCCCCACGTGCCCGCTCGCGTTCTGCATCACCAAATCAGCTGGCAGCGGTCGGTAGCGATACCTATTGTTCACTATCCTGCCCTGCCGACCGCAGCTGATCTCAAACAAGCGGTCCTTGCGGATCTCCCCCTTGTAGAGGTGAATAACCTGGTCCTCCCCTTCAAAGATCGCCCAGTGCGGGGGTTGTGAGTTGGCCACTAACTCCAGTAGATCCCCGGGTTTGCACATGGTCAATAAAGTTTTCACAGAATAAACATTCAGGTCCTCGTTCTCTCGCAGTTTGGAGTATATACATTCCTGGCAGCAGAACGCCGAGTACTCGATCTCGTTGAGCGCAACCGGACCGTCTTTGCTCGGGCTGTTGTTGTCTTTAAAGCTGTCCGACTGCGATCGTTCGTCCAGCTCTTCCTCCTCATCGGAAAAGAAATACGCCACGCCAACACGCAACTCGTCCTTCTCGATGCCCGATGGATCCCCGGTGGGTAGCTCGCTGTAGTTCAGGTGGGTGATCCGGTCCAGTTGGTTTCCCATCAATAACAGGGCAGAGAAGAGACATGGAATACTGCTTCTGAAATACAAAAGGGCCATGTGAGTGTCATACTAGAGAGGCGGACTAGAATTATTCTGACGCGCCCAAAATGCTGTCAAGGTACACAGCCATAGTAAGTCACCTCACAACACAATAAACCACGCGCACCTGGGCGCGTAAACAAGCCAGTCGCGCAGAGCGTGGCACAAAGAGGCAAAGGGCGAATCATTGTTGAACTGCTCACGAAGCTCTTGTTAATAAGTTCACAACACAACACCGCGAACGGACGCGTACCTGCGTATTTCCCCACGACAATGGCTAATGGTCCTTTCTCTCCATCGGTGCTAGTGCTGTGTGTATCCCGTAAGGTCTCCAAAACAAAACGCGTTCGCCTCCCCCTTACGTGTCCTCCAAGGTACACTGGATTCCCTAACACTTTGCACCGCCGCACTTTAAATAGTCTAGAAAACTCCGCCCCGACCAGCAGAACCTGCCCTCCTGATGGCGATTGGTTCAGAGCCCTCATGAAAAACTTAAACCTTTGCTCAGAGGCTTATAATATTACAGCTGTTTGTGTTGTTCACAGCCTTCAAGACTCAAAGGGTTTGGCAGATTTGTCAAATGTAACAATAGTAAATCTAGGCTTGAAATGAGAGATTAGAGGTTAGAGATTCATTATAAGGACATGTGGTTTCTGAATGCTTGATTAGCTCTGTCAAAACAAGTTAGAGCTTTTGTATGCTGGTGGAACACTTTATTGGTGCTGTTTTTGTGTTCAGTCCATAATGTTGGTATAATGTTGATTACCAATGACCACACAGATCATTTTGACTTGTCCCTCATTTTCTTTAAACAAAGCGCAAAATACAATGAAAGTAAACTTGGTTTAAAAAATAAAACTTACAATTTTATAAAAGCATACTCTTTCTTTAAAACCTAAGTACTATTTAAGTGTGATGTCATGACAACTAAGTTAAGAAACTGGGTATAATTTTGAACACAGAAAAGGTTAGTAAGCATTTTTGATGACTTTACGAGTAACAATAGCAATACATGGTAAGTATTTATTCATCTTTGTTAATGTTGTTTAATAAAAAATATAAAAATAAAAATCAACAAAAAATAAATCATATTAACAGACAGCTTTTAATGTAAATAATGTATTAGTAAATATTTACATTAGTATTGATTAATACATTCTTTAGAAGTATTTTCACTGTTAGTTCATGTTAACTAATGTAGTTATCTAATGTTAACAGATGCAACCTTATTATAAAGTGTTACCTATTTACAAATTGGCCCCATTCAGTTCTTTTGTAAGTTCCTCACTGTAACCCAGATTATTATTTTATATATATATATATATACACACACACACATATATATAAAAGGAGGGACAAGATCAAATGTATTTTTATGGTAATAAGCATTATGCCACAAATGCTGCGGACTGAGCTTATCTTGCATTGAACCGGGTATATTCATAACATGACCTGAATCTATATCATAGGATAGAAGCTGTTTTTCTGTCAGGCCTTGTGTGGTCCTCAGAATCCTTCATTTATCTCCCTCACACACAAGGACATATATAACACACACACTAGCTGTCATGAGACTCTGACAGTCAAGTGACTAAGTCCTTGCAGCATCATCCAGCCATTCATAATCAAGAGTTTGCTGAAATTAAATTCCAGCCCTCATGCACAATCGCATGCACACACACATACACAGTATTGACAATCAAAGCATTCTCACTACCATAATATGCCACACACAGACCCATATTCCCACACAAACAAGGCACTCAAGTGGCAGGCTTGAAGTTGGAATGATTTAGATTATAATTATTCTGCAGAGACAGATCCAATTTTCCACCTATGAAATGGATTGCCCTTGTGTCTCAGTAATACACCCATCTGTGGTTATGTAGTCTGCATGCATGTTTAATATAGATGCTCTGCCTATGTGTGTGATGGTGTGAGAGAGCGAGAGAGAGAGAGAGAGATAATCTATTTGAAAGGCAGATGCAGAGGACCCTGAAAGAATTCTGATGCTTTGGCACACACACATACATCTACATACATACTCAGGTACACAGCGTACATCAGGTGTCAAGTATGTGAATACTTGCGGTGCATGTGCAAGAGAGTGACAGAAAAGAAATGGAAGAGAAGGATGTGAGGGAAATAAAGGGACAACACACAATATCCACAGGACTTCTACACTTTTCTTCGGTTTACTGTCTGTATTTGCCGTAAACAAGCATGCTGTAATCATATAAGAACACCAGGGAAAACAAGCCGAGCACAAACAAAGGAGAGGAGGAAAGAGGCATGAGAGGAGTGGAGGAATAGAAACCAGGAGAAAAATGGCTTTTGGTAACAATGACCATGTGGCAGTCTTGCATTCAATATATCTAGCTGAAGGCTTTGAGAAAGCAGTATTTTATGGGCTTCATAAAACTCTGCCAAGATAACTAATCATTCCCTCTATATGAGTTTAGCAGTTGGTGTATGTGAACCCATTTTGCAAGCATACAGATAAACACACTTGAATCTATCTTCTGCTCTAGCAGGTATAGAGTTTTTACCTGAAAGAGCTTCTTTTGTTGTTATTCCATAGAAAAGTGCAATATATACAGGGGTCCAAAAGCTTGAAACTATATTAAAAATATGTGATTTTGTTTTCCGTTTAAACTTTGGGGACAAAAAAGATTGAGGATTTTTTAAAAGTTAAAACAAGAAACATTCTGAAGAAAAAAAACATTATGTATTATTTTATAGGTCACTCATCAAATATGTAAATTTGTGACCTTGATCATGTGACTCTCTGTACAAATGGTCAGATGTACTGTATGTAGCTATGTAGCTACTTTAAACTAAATTGAAACTGGGCAGATGTTTTCCTTCCATTAAGTACAAGATGCTCTTTGATTTATTCTCACATCGTGCTTGATTACGATCATTACACAAACTCGTGTAGTTCGAGGGCTGTCATTACAAAAAACAAACAGACAAAGAAGTCATCCACCTGGGCTGTAAATGTGAGTTTGCTGTCTTTTCCAATTAACAGTGTGAAATAATGTCAAGAAATGTATCTTGCTGAGTTTTCCTCGCAGCCACACAGTGCAACCAGTGTGTCCGGATTTACAAACAAATTACTCTTATGAGTCGGTTCTTTTAGCGAAACAACAACATACAGCGTGACCAGCAGTATGATTTGCGAACAAAGGGCATGTGTGAGTCGGTTCTTTTAATTTTTTTTTAATTATTTTGTGATCAGATAACTGGACCACATATAGAGGTATTCAAAATCCACTTAACCACATACATTTTTAAGTGGAAACGTTACACACTGCTTTTCATTGTTCTTATGTGTAAATGTACTAGATCAGGGGTGTCAAACTCAATTGCTGGAGGGCCGGAGCCCTGCAGAGTTTTGTTCTAACCCTGCCAAAAGCGCTTATATTCTCTTGCATGTTCAAAAAAGCAAGCTTTATATATCAGTTTGTCCTTAGCTCAGTCACAGATTTTTTTCATACTTCAAGTGGTTCCTCAGAAGCTCTTTAGAGGGAATATTAATTAAGATTCTACTAGTAATGGTGATGTCGGAAATGCAGACTTTATGCGCCCAGGATGAGATGTATCTGGCTTGACCTAAAAATATCCTCTGCTCTTAAATTCTCTGTCACAGACACACAACAATAACATTGCCAGTCAGTCTCTTTCAGTCATGAGTCACAGGTTCTGAGATCCGTGGGTGAGCGTTCCAAACCGCGCCTGTTCTTTAAGGGCCCTGACCCTGCTTTAGACCGTACAGCGAGTTCAGCTTCCATGCCAAAATGACAATTTAATCCTCACTCTCGCAGGACACCACAGATACTTTTTTTAGACCTGCAAGAAAGAGTTGTGTTTTTGAAATGGCATTATAGATTGTGTTCCTACATCGGGTGGAGAGAGGGTATTGACAATTCTTTCACACATTTCCCTTATGGCCCTTTTGTAGAACTCCCACAACGCTGTGCTATTGATGGGGCAGCTCACTGACAGTTCATTCTCCTCTTCTCTGCTTTCAGCACTGCCATCCTCACTCACCCCCTCTTTTTTCCACACTTCGATACTATTAGTAGGCCATGCTCCCTGAGCCTTTATCTGAGAGGAGTACACTCTCAGCCCTACACCCTATCACTGCACAAATAACTATTATCAGGACTGGTTTCCTGTTATGGGCCAGCTGGCTTCCATGGCATTTCATATGAGATTTTTCTTAACATCACTGAAACTTTACAGGTCCCCTGCCCTGCACTGTCATATCCTGTCCTGCTGTGCTTCGAACCCAGACTTTTGTGCTTATCTGCCACCGAACCCATTAGAAAGCCTGGTGAGGAGCTAATGAAAAATGAGAGTTCAAAATGACTGGTCATTCAGAGAGAATGAGCTAATAACTAGCTGTCAGACAGAAGGGTTAATGCAGAGGCTGAGGTGGTGCAAGGAGGTTTAGCAGATAGACGTTTTCTTCTGAGAAAGTATGTCAGACTAACAGAGGATGTTAAATTATAAGCTTTGGGTTGAGGCCGGTACAATGATTAAATACATTTTCATGTCATCTGCCAAATGGAAAGTGTCTGAGGAAAAAACAGCAAGATGGCACTTTAAGCAATCCAGCTGAGCTATGGCTTTTTGGATGTTGAAGAGTGAACAACTTTACTAAGTGCTGACAGGAACTGGTAATTTGTGTTTTCTGTTAGGCTTTTCAGCAATAATTATATTGCCAGTTGTTGGTCAATGCACTTGTTTACCTTCAATCACTGTACTGAATTTTTCTCTGACACCTGTCTGGACTTTTTAACACACTGACACGCAAGCTGTGGTTGAGGTGGATTGTGAAACAGCATCTTCTGTACTAAATCTTGCAGGATTGTGCACCATTCAGAATTAAATTGAGAGCCTTTTGAATTTCAACTAAATATCTTAATTGACTTTAAGGTAGAAAACATGATGCAGAATTGTAATTTGTATATATAATATTATAAAATAAATAAAATGAGTTTGAGAAAAATTCATTTAAATGTAACTTTTAACTAAAAAGTTTTGTCAAAGTTTTATCAAAACAAGCTTGAAAGCTGGCTTGACAAAGTGTTGTCTGAAAGTTTTGAAAAAAGTTTAAAAAGCCTTGAATTTAGAAAGTTTATAGAACTCACAGATAAAAAGATAACTTATAATTAACTTTTCTGGACCAGGATGGAAAACGCACCCCGGGGGATCAGGGGGCCCCATCTGATATTGGGAGTGCTCTTTGTGCACTTTTATAGGCTGTATAATCCTGTCTAACGGTCTCAGAACAGATATATTAACCTCGGAGAATAAAGTATCATGTTTTGTGTCATGCTTTTATTTGTCTTTATGTTTCAAAATAACTCGCTTGT